TAAATATTAAATTAAAAAGTAAAACTACAATAACTTAAAACTGCATGAAAGTAGAATTAAATTTTTTATAATGATGTATTTAGAAATTTAATATATTTTTTTCTGTTTTAATAAATAAGTCTTATAATTGTTTACAAGAAATTAATTTAATTAATAATACTAATAAAATTGAAGATATAGAAAGAATTTATGTATTTTAATTGCAGTAAAAACTATTTATAAAAGTTATAATAAATAATTAATTATAATAGATAATTAATTTTAATAACTTATTATCGATATTCTTAAGAATTCTATAAAAATAAATTTTAATTAATATAGAATGCAAAAAGTTTATTAAGTGTGCTTAGTTTAAATATTATATTATTATTAATATTATATTAATAGTTAAATTATTTTTTTTTTAATAATATATTTTATTTAAACAAATTATTTCTTAAATTTAATTTTTACAGTTTTTAAATAATTAAAAACTTTTGGATTTTGACTTTCTTTTTTGACATTTTATTTGACATTTTATGTCTGATTTTGGCTTTTGTTTTGAGATCATTCAATATTATCTGAATTAAAAATTTTTTTTGTTATTTTTTTTATTATTAAAAATTGAAATTATTTTTATTTTTTGTTTTACAAATTAAAATCATTTTATTTTTTATTTACTTTTAATTAATAAGTAAATATAAATTCGTTTCAAAATTCTTTTTGCCTCTTTGATACCTGCTTTGCTTTCTTTTATTTGCATTTAATTTACTTTATTTGGCTTTGCTTTGCTTTCTTTTGCTTGATTTTGTTTTACTTTGTTTGACTTTGCTTTGCTTTTTGTTTTTAGCTTTAATATCAAAGTTCGCCGCATGTTTGACTCGAAATGGGCTCCATTTTAAATTGTTGTTGTGGTTGTTGCTGTTGTTGTTGTTGTGATGTTTGTACGCCATTTGCAAAGCACAAATCATTATTGTTGTTGTTATTTTTGCTATTAGAATTGGCGCACATGGTTACAGCGTTGGGTGGGCAACGCTCTTCATTATTGTTATTGCAATTAATTTTCATATCACAATTATTGTTGTTGATGCTGTTGCTGTTGTTGTTGTTGTTTGTTGTGCTATTATTAATTAATGCAGTGTGGCTTGGTGAGTTCAATGTTGAATTTTGTAGGCCAGCAAAAGAACGTACCTGCAAGAATAGGCCACTGTTAAGCAGACGTGCTTGATGTTCTTGCGCTTTGGCACGTAAACAGGCGATGGAATTGTTTCTGTTAAATAGATAAAATAAATTATTTATTAAGTATAAATGACAGAAATATGTATTAAAATTCAAATTAAAATTCTTATAGTTTTATAAGAAAAAAAAAATTTTTAATTCGTTTTAAAATTTTAAACTATAGTTACAATTAATAAGCTAATTTTTGAAGATAGCTTAATTTGTTAAATAAATAATTTATTATTTTCCACCAAAAGAAAATAATAAAAAATTATTTTCTTTTAATGTTGAAAATATTTTTTGGATTATTAATATTATTATTAATATTCACTAAAAATTTATTTAAATTTAATTTATTTATTTAAATCTATTTTTTAAAATTCAATTTTTTACTATTGATTTTATCTAATGATTTATTTTTTTTTGCCATTTCAATCAATTAACAAACTTTAAGTTTAAATAGTATAATAGATACTCTCTATGAAAATATTTTAAAATTTTAATATACTTAAAAGCGAATTGCACAAAGGCTCTGAGAAGACTTTTCAAGGTACCATGGTACATTAGGATGAATGACATCCTCAAGGATCTCAAGATTGATGGATCAAAAAATATATAAAGGATAGAACCATGAAATCATTGACGAAAACTGACAGGCTTACCAATACCGCGTTATCGAATCACAGAATGGTTATAGGCTTCTCGGCGAGATATGTAGAAGTTATACATACATACCTGATGAAGTTATAAACAATAATCCAATCAAGGCCTAGAAAAGATTTATGAACAAACCTCGCAGTTAAAAGAGAGTAAAAGTGCTCAAGTGCACTGACTCAACTAGCCTCAACATAATAATAAAAAGCGAATATAGATACAATATCCACAAGACAAAAATCAAAGACATATCGAAAGTATTTTAAAATTTTTCAATAAAACTAATATCCAAAAAAGGACAAAAGAATAGTTTCATATAATAATTAATTATGAAAACTATAAAGTTTCTATAAATCTATGTCAAATTTTCGTAGAAACCATTTCTTCGTAGATTAATAAAAATGAAACTGATATGTTATATATAGGGTTATATAAATATCTCTGAAGGAAATACATTGCTACGGTTTTTAGTCGATTATTTTATTTATTTATAAAATAATCTTAAGTGATAAATAATTGTTACAAAGTCTTAGTTATTTATTTTTGCTTAAGTGTTTTTTTTTAACTCTCAAAAATATCTGCTTACGCCCTGTCTCCATAACCTTCTTTTTCCGCCGAAGTTGTCAAGCCAACCCAACAATTATATCAAAGAAAACTGTTCTATTTAAAGAAATGAAAGATCGTAGCCATTTACAGCATTGAAACTTTTTTGATTGGTTTTCAGATTGCCAAAACGATAATGTTGAGTCCCCGCATAAAATTATTTTTTCTGATTAATATGGGTCAAATCAATGGATTTGAATTTTCTTATTAATATTGTACTCCCCTGTAAATTTGAAATATATTTTTTGCCAAACATTTTAATTGTAAATTCCTCTCATAATAATTTTATCATCTATAATTATTTGTGTGCTTTGGGAGCAAAGAGCATTATTACGATTTACTAAAAAATTTAAAAATTTTTATAATCAAATTGTTATAAATAAATGTTTATAAACACAATTTTTAAATTCTTAACACTAAATGATTTCTAAATAAAATTAAATAAAATGAAATCACCGTATTGTTGAAAATCGTTCTTTATCATATTCAATTCCATTGGTGTTTGCATGCACCCACCTAAATGCATCGGGATCCGATTGTTCATGTGTATATGGACCACCACTAGTTCCATGAGCAGAATGATGACTACCAGCAGCAGCAGCTGCTGCTGCGGCTACAGCGGTATTCATAATCATATGAAATTCCTTACTTGATGCAGCACCAGCGCTTGCATTTGCTGCATCCAACAATGGATGATACGAAGGATGTGCATTAGGTGGAGGTAATGATGTATGCTGAAAATGATGAATATTATGGTGTTGCGGGGTTTGGTGTGATGATTGCGTAGAATGTGAATGTAAAGTTTGCTGCATTTGTTGTTGTGAGGTTGGTGAAGGACTACTAAGATCGATGTGTGGCGTATGTGGTGAAGACGAGGAGGTAGCAGTTGGTGTTGTAGCATTAGAAGAATTATGATGCAATATTTGCGGTCCTGGGCTAACAACATTTAATGATTCAGTTGAAGAGCTTAAGCGACGATTTTCGTCATTCGATTTTGAGCCAGCAGATTCTTCGTGATCACTGACACCAGAATCATCTTTCAAAGCATCTTGTGCTTCTAATGATTTACGATGCATGCCTGTGAGTTAAATTTTGAATAAATGTCAGCTTAAGTTTTAAAAATATATTATTTGAAAGTTTTAAAGTACTTAATTAAATTCAGAACATTAACTCTAAAATATGTGTACATTTGACTTCTTGAATTCTACACGTTTTAAATCTACACTTACGTTGACATTACTAAAAGGAATAATTTTGTTCAAACATATGTCAACAATAACTCTTTTATCTTTTCATATTACTCTTACTAATTCTTCTCATATTCCTTTTTTATTAAATTTTTCTCTTTGTTGACTTAAGTCCATTAATCTAATTTATTTGTTTTATTAAAATTCTATTGAAGGCAGTTAATTTGGTACGCTTTGCTCTGACTTAATCCGCTTTAAACCACTTAAAATTAACAAACCCATAGTAGAGTCAGAGAGGTTGCTATTATTGAAAAATTAATTTGCTTGTAACACCCAAACTATTTTATGATAAGCACTGTACAAAGAGCTCATCATCATCTATGACAATAATACTGACAACAACAACAACAACGACAAGGACAACAACAACACTAATGGTGTATACTGAGAAATCCATAAAATTCCATTTGATCGGTTTGTTGTATCTGAGTCAGAGTGAAGCATTTTTCTATTTTGCATTTATTAAACGATTATTAACAACAAAAGAATGCGGAGGGTATAAATAATAGTACCGCACAAGTAAAAGATATAAAAATCGTTTATCTTCTTCCCTTCCGAGCAGCGGACAATAATATTATTTGCACCCCTCGTTCGTATCTGTACGTGTAGCTGCAAATCCACAAAGTCATTTCTGTACAAGTTCCTTTGTGGTTGGCAAGAGTTTTATGGGTTGCGTTGGGTTTGAGTTCGTCTTTCACTTTTACTGAGGGTGTAGATACTCGTACTTTTCTAAATAGCTCCTCTTTTTTGATTATTAGAGTTATACAACATATGACTTGGAAAGTAGTTAGCTATGGAATTAGTCATGTACTTCAAATATGTTCACAATTATTTCCTCTTAACTTTTCTAACTTTGGTTTTTGGAAATGATTGTCTCGTAATTTTTTTTCTATTGAATATATTCTTAATACTTTAATATTATAATATGTAATATATTAGTAATACTAATTAGAAATTATTTCAAATAATTTAAATAAATTTGGTGATACTTTTATTGCATTTACTTTTGTTCTCCATACCTAGAAGCCACGGTGCCACTGAATCGTTATCTTTGGCTGATTTGATTATAGTTTCCGGTAGTGGCAATGAATGTCGCACCATAGCACCATAAAGACCATATTCTGCCATAATCGTACTGCGTCCCCAGCATTTTTCAGTTTTACGCCATTTAGCACGACGATTTTGAAACCAAACCTAACAATATAATAAATATTTATTTGAAAATTAAAAAAATAAAAAAAGATTGTTAATTTTAATGTTAAAAAATTTATTTTATTTTAAAGCTTTATTACGGATTATTATTATCATTATTATCATAAAAAAGGGATGGTATACTGCTATCTATTATAAAAGGTCTATTATGTTCCCTATTCGGATTAGAGTGTTTCTCCAATTCCGATTTATTTCATGAAAGATAGTATAGAGCCTATCTTTCCTAGTCTCGAATCCTTATGTTCCATGAAATACATTCCTAGATATTTCTTCCGCTTGTCCATCTGTATCGGATACTTCCCTAGCAAATGGTATGCGGTTTCTCTCTCTCTTCTCTGCGGTATCTGCAGTCTAAGTTGGATTGGATATGTGACTTTGTTAGGTGATTATTCAATCTACAATGACCGGTTAGTAATCCTGTAATAATTCTTAGGTTATTTCTGTTTGTTCTATGCAGTCCTTGAAGCGTTTTAGGTTGTACGTCCCTAAAAGTATTTTAGACTGTTATAGTCTTGATTGTCGTTCCCAATAGAGTTATCTCTCCATTCACAAGAAGGGATAGAGTTCTTTAAGCTATTAGGTCAATTTTATTTTTATTTAAATAACCATAAAAAACATTGGTTTTATTTAACTATACATTTTATATAAATTTCGATGGTCATCTTCTGTGCCTGAAGATGCAAAAAGGTTATTTATCAAATAAAAAAAATATTTTTTTATTTGTGTGGTGTCCACGAAAAAAAATACTGCTTACAAACTTGTCCAGGTATTTAAGTTTATCAAAATTTAAGTATCAGAAGTCTTATCGATTTTAAGGATATTAAATTATATGTTAGTTTGAAAGGTTTGTTAGTTAGCACCGAATGTCGGTCTTTCAGCACCGAATGTCGAACTAAGTTGACCGATGTGTTCTTTTCTGGTTAATTGGTTAATTGTAAAGAATCATCGTACATAGAGACATAATTTAGAATCGATGACAAAAACGCAATAAGAGCGCGTAAATTAAAACATCGCAATGATATTTATGCTAAAAAATCTCAAACTTTTAAACAGAAATGACAAAATTCATCTGGCAATACTGTCTACGCGCCAGACTTAATAGGCGGCCTACATAGTCGCTTTAGAGCCATATTATACAAAGAGTCATGGTTATGAAAAATGTTATTATTATAGTTTTAATGTAAATTAAAAGGAGCACATAAGAACATGTGAGAAAAATTTTATTTCACTTTTAGTCACGATGTCAAGACTTTCTGCGTTTTATTACGGTGATAAAAACAGTTTTGCTCAGTGATATTTGCTCAGAATTTTTTGTTTTTAGAAGCAAATATCTGTATTCACATACGTAAGGTTATCTTTACGTTATCTTTACCTTATTTCTGTAATAAGGTTATCTTTGAAATTTATGGACAACCTAAAAATATTAAAGTAGTAGTAATTGTAGAAATTCACATTTGAGATTTGACGCTCTGCATTATATGTCTTCATGGTCATGAGTAGAAGGAGCCCAAAACTGGCTTGAGCATTCGTCAATTGACTGTCGGCATTATATTACCTTTATAGATATATAACATTAGAAGTCCAATCAAATGTTCTGGTTTTTTGATTAATTTTTTTAAACTTTGTGTAAAATGAAATCATTATTATTATTATATATAACAACATTCTACATTATAATATTTTTTCTACTTTAATACAAGTGGTTGTTTTATTTTTCTTAAGAATAAAACTGTAAACCCCACTCTTTATCAGTGAATAAATCATTTAATTTTTTTTATTGTTTTTATTTGGAATTCATAAAAGAACGACTAAGAAACATAATAGCAAATAATAAACACATTTTGCATATAAGTGACCAAATTAGATTATCTTCCAAAACATTTAACCGATTTGTTTGTTGAATGCTAAAAGTTAATCACATGACCGAACAGTAACAAGAGATATAAAAATAGTACATATATATAATATGTAAATTTGTATGTATATGCATATAAAACATTTTTTATACCACAATAGCATAAAAAATTAAACATACTTGTTTAGAACTATTTTTACTATCAACTCACACTCGAACTGAAGGCCAACAAAAGTATGCAATACTCAATAAAAGGATTTAACAATATTTGCAAAGGAAAAATCCATTCCAGTCAATTCATCCCTTGATTCCCTTTAATGCAGACACCCCACTTCACAGTAATCATCATACAAACTGAGGAAGGACGAAAGAATACCGCAAACGAATGCAGACAGTCGTGTTGGAGTCATGTCAAAAACCAGCAAAAGACGTAGTAGATGAAGTCAACATTTTTCTGGTCCATCAAATCGTTTAGTTCTGCTATTAGTTTCAAAAAAGGGCACTCATGTCCTTGTAGTATTTGAGATTACCCAGACAAACAAATGCAAAAGAAAATAAAAAATTATGCGAAAATATTTATAAATGCCGCCACGCAGCGCTGTGATATTTTTCGAATCCTTTACTGCTAAGTGAAATTTCAGTATGGGAAATCGCTGCGAATACTTTAAGGTTAAGTAAGTGTGAAGTCGACTAAGAGTGGAGTGTAAGGTGTAGAGTATACAACGAACTGCCATTTACAACGTTGGACAGACAAATCAGTCGCTTAACACAGCCTAGTCGAGAATGGTATCGGAGTAGAGCCATTCCCTAGCTTCTTAGCGAAATTTGCATAATTTGTTAAATATATATATATACACAAGTATATTACCATTTCATTCATACCAACTTCACATTATTCCATACCTACAACTTTGATGGTCGCCGTCTATATTTTCAGAAGTTGATAAATTTGCATTCAGAGTTTAGTGGAAGTCTGGATTTATGCTTTGAATTCGCACGTGTAGTTATGGGAAAGGATAGACAGAATTTTGGATTTTTGTGAAATATTAGTTATTTCATTAATGTTATTTATTGTGAAATAAATGATTGTAAATTATTAACTTTATTTGTTATTTTATTAGCAAAAATATTTATGCATCTTTTTCAATGTAAAGAAGTTATGCTATTTAGTAAATAAAAGTAAAAGTAAGTAATATTAGGTTTTAGTTTCATTAAACAAAGATAATTACGTTTAGTAAAACAAGTATTTATATATTTTGATATGTATTGTATAAAGTATACAGTCATACGTCAAGTCCCAATATATTATAATATACTTTTTATTTTTGTAAAAAATAAATTAAATAAGTGTTTGTATTCACATATATTTTATATTATTTAGAGTAATACAAAACAAAAGAAAACGATAAAAAACAAATAAATACAGTTAATAAAAAGAAGATTCTAATATTACATATATAAAATTTAGTTATAAAAGAATCTTCTACAACTTCTACAGCGAAAAAAACTCGCAAAAAATGGTTGTGAAAGATAGTCGATTGTTTGGCAGAGGTTTAGTAGTAGTACTAGGTGTTTCATTAGGTTCTGCGACGTCAAAAAAGTAGTAGAAACTGTAAGAATCAGTCACGACAACGTCCACAGCAATATAAACACCAGAAACTTTCATAAAAATATAAAAAATGGTTGTAGATCATTGTCAGTCAGATCCAAGATTGACTGACAGTGATTTAGTAGAAGTTCTAGGTATTTTACAATGTACAGTGACATCCAAAAACTTTATCAGTAGTCGAAATCTTCATTAAAATACAAAATATGGCTGTGGAAGATCGTTGATTAACTAAAAGATATATACTTCATATATGTATGTAGTAGAAGTTTAAGATCTTTTTTCAGCAAACTGAGTAATATTTTATTTCAAGTTTTTAGTTTTTTTTGGATTAGTATCAAATAACCAATTTAACCAATTGCTTGATTTATATTCTTATATCTTATGCAGAAGAAAAAATATATAAATCATGTAACAAATAATGCCTCTACAAACAGAATAGTATTGAAATTTAACAATTAAAAATAAAAA